CCCCATGCACATTTCATGGTGTTCTAGATCTCATTTTGGGTCTCTGGTCATGTCAAAGTTAAGCTTAGTAGCACTGATTTTTACAAGCTCAGTTTTCTCAATACAATAAATTGCTTCAAATGAGAACCTAATTTACATACCTAAATGTTAGTTATCTAAATTTAAGACATCCATCCCAGGCTCCCTTGGTAGTCATTGAAGAAAAAGACCTCATTTAGAGAGCAATCCAATTTATCGTCAAATAGGTGTCAAAATACGGTGGATGAATTATACTCTAAAAATGTTTTATTTCTACCCTTTGGTTCTAAAGGGAGTTCACAATGGCTAGCTTAGCGGTAGGTGGCTGATTTTTGGAATTCTAAGGCCAGGTGAAACGGATGTCTGCGAGCATGTGGATGTACCTGAGTCACAACAGAAAAAAAGAATGAAACACTATAGATTTATGGAGGCAGCTAGGAGAAAATAGTGGAAACTATGTGAAGGCCTCTTTAGTGTTGAACCACTGATTTTATTCAGAGTTACAATTAAAGCTGGATTTTTGTATCTTCACCTCCTCTGAGGTACAGTACTGATTTCCATGACCAGGAGTACCTTTCTGGCCTACAGCTAAATGGTAAGGGCTACTGTCATTCTCAGCTTACAGACCTTTTTTTTGTTCACTTATTTGCCAAGCCAAGTACAAAGCAGCACATAACTCACTCTGCTCTGACCTGCTGTTTTTTTAAAAAGACTGGATATTTTGCAGTTGGCTGTTTTAAAAAGAGTATGGCCTTTCTTCTATAAAAAACTAACTATTTTTGGCTTCCTTAAAGTGTCTTTCCTCAGTTATTCCCAGGACGATGGATATCAACATATGTACAATATTGTTAGTAGGGCAGTTTTAATTAATTAGACATATTTGAATTATTTTCTGTCTTGGTTTCCCAGAGCTGAAGCCTACCATTTTTCAGAGCATGTTGTGAAAATCCTATTTTCTAAGGCCCTTCAGAGAAAGAATGATTTAAGTTTTGGACATTTTAGTATGGGCTGTTGTTGTTTAAAATGAGGTTTTAATATTAAGTAGGAAATTATTGATTATAATATCCTTGTTATTAATGATACTTTTTTTTGGTATTTTTAATACTTGTTTGGATATGTCAAGCTTGGAGAGAATTTGAGTAAATCTAAATAAATGAAATGAATCTTACCCAGGGGTGTCTTGGATGTTGAATCATATTCATACTTCACTTCTCCTGAGGTAGTGGAATATAAACCTTCTTCCAGTTATTTCCCTTTTTTCTGGCACACCCTTTTTTCAACTATACTTTTCTGTTTCAGTGGTAAAGTACTACATACTTGCTCCTGAAGTGAGTGTTCGCAAATACTAATTTCATATGCTATTCTGAGAGTCTTCTAAGACTTTTTCATGTCTTCACATTGTGAGGAAAGGATGGTAATACTAAAATAGTCTTGTTACAAATTAGTCGTTCTTGTGTTGATCTGTATTTTTAAATTTTCCTTAAATTTTCCTTTTTTTGTCTTTTAATCTCTGAACTATACCCCCAAAATCTTTTTTTGTTAATAAATATTGTTAAGCCCAATGCAACTCCAGAAGTCCCTTTCTGTTCCTTTCTCTCCTCTTCAGGATGCACCACTGTAAGTCCAGAGTAAATTCCTATAATTGAAAGACCAGAAATGTTCTTTTTCCCTTTCCCTGCCACAAAGTAAAGATATCGTTGTCTTCTGGTTTGGAAGGGAGTTACATTAATAAATACTTGAAAATAAAGATACTATTGGATAAAAACCTAGATGATAAAGAAATGGCAGTTTGCATATCTGAGTCAGTTCGACTTTGAATATTTCTACTGGTTCCCCCTTTCATTTTATTTTTTAGTTCATTCCAGTATGCTTTTTCTTGTGAATGCTGGTTACTATCATGTGGAAGGAGCCTGATCACACAAGGAAGGAGTCTTCCCAGACAACCAGCCCCAGTCGCATGGAGGGCTTTGAGAATCAAACCTCATCAGAGGCTTTTTTGGAATTCAGAGAAAACTATTTCCATCAGGTCCGGCTTAGCTTCACCTTCATTAACCTCTTCAAATGACTGTGACGGCTTAGGGAGGTGCTTTTATTCCTCCACTGAAACTTTGTGGCTTGACTCCATCAGTTTGTGCTTATCAAACAAGTGCTCTAATATTCTGATTAGCATGGGGATGGGTTGTCAAGCTGTGGATACTGATCAGGCCCAGGGTCACTTTATCTGAGAGGTATTTCTGCTCAAAATTCTCAGACCTCAGTTAAAAGGACTTGGAAGAATTTAATTAGAAGATAGAAGGCCCAAGTGTCATGTGTATATGTATATATGTGTATATAGGTATATAGATTTATGTATAAAGATTTCTGGTGAAATAAATGAGATAATAGAAATTATAGGAAAAAAATTGTCTAATTCAAAGCACACTGGTAATTCTTCTTTTACCTTCATTTAGCTGTGGATACAGCCTTAGTAACTTACTTAGATTCCCTAAGAACGCTGTTTTGGGTTCAGCATGCATATACAGAATATTTATCTAGATCAATTTAATGTTTTTTCAAATACAAAGACTAATAGACCTAGAGAGTACATCACAGATCCAAACTCTGTTGCTGAGCAAAAGATTTCAGTGCGTTTGGAGAGGGTATCCTGGTCTCTGGATAAAATACAGAACTGCTCCTGAGAGCAAAGTCCTCATGACACAGAGAGGATGGTATAAGTGCATTTGAATGTCCTCAAGTTCAGTAGCTTCTGGATCCTAACAGGCTCTACATGGGAGCTGGATCTCTAATTTCTCAAAATGCATGTGCAAGAAATGCTTTGAAATGTGAAAGCTGTCAAGGCTGAGGAACTGAAGGTTAAGCAGAAGAAAAGTGCTCAGGGAGCTGCAGGAACTTTAGTAATATGAGCAGAACTATTCTGGGTTTCTGTTTCAGGTTTAGATGCTTGATGTCATTTTAAATGCTGTTCTAGATGCCTGAAAGATTCTTTGGGACAGGGTTACTTGGGGACAATACACTGTAATTCTTAATATATACCACATATAATTAGTTCACCTGTAGGATTAAAAGATAATTCTCTTACAAAACAGCACAAGTAACAGAACATTAACTAGAAAATACTTTTCCTTTATTAAAGATGTGTTGTGTTCTTTACTCTGGCCCTATTTTCCAACCGTTCTGCTTGAACCATTAGCACTGTATTGACCTGCTCTGAGCCTTTAGGGAGACTGTTAAAATACGTAACATGAACTCACAAAAGTATCATATATTAACAAGTGTTCTTTGCCCTATTGGTGCTGAATGGTGATCCACCTCAGGCATCAAGAAACTGAGAGTTAATGTGTAATTGTTCCCTTTCCTGTTCTCTCATATAGTGGCAAAGAAAGCTGAAGTACCTTTCTTCTAGCTATTCCACTTTATATAGGAACTTGTATCCCAAGAAACTTGTTTTCACAGTAGCTGGATCCCATCCAGTAGCGTACTAATCGATGTGACTAACATCTGTCTCATGTGGTTCATTTTTTTATCTCATCGCAGAAGATGAGAGAAAGTAGAAGCAAGATTGTGTATTTAGTGATATAACGTTAAAGATATAACTGTGGTCTGCAGCGGTATCTGTGTTTAACTGTATTTTTTGCTATGAGAGTATATTAACAAAGGCAAGTCAAATTGGTGCACTTGCCCTTGAACTGAAAGATGATGGGGTTTGTGTGGACTGTGGTTTCTGCAAGAGGTCATTCTCCAGTCGTAGGACAGGCCCTGAGAGGACTCCCTCCCCTGCCCAGAAAAGCTTTTCCTTGCTGTAGACAGTGACTGGGGCCTGAGCGATGGAGTCGCCCCTCGAAGTCACCCTCCTGGGCATCCTTCAGGCCACTCAGCCCCTCACTAGTGAAGCCTCTAACCTGGAGTCCACACTCACACTTAGGCCTCAGTAGGAAAGTAGACTGGTAGGCAAACGTAATACGCTTCACCCAAGGAGACATAACTGAACATCGCCTCCTTTGAATGGTTTCTTTAAATTGGGAGTATCAGTAAAGTCTAGTTCAATGCAGAATTATGAGGTATCAAACTAACATTGTACTTTGCATCGTTGTGATAGTTTACCGGTAGTGGTTGTTCACTGGATTCCTATTATTTTGGAGCTGCCCCATCCCGTTCCTTCTGCCCCAACTTAACTAAGTTTTGGATAGCTTGTGGAAAAGGACTGAATTGTCTTCTGCTGTAATTAACATTTATCAAAATTTTTTTAACCTACCTAATTGCTCTAGCACTTTCCGTTACAGAATAACTCTTTTGTGACTGCGAAGCGTTTGGTTTCTGTTAATTAAACAGAGTCTGCTCCCAATATCTGCTCCCAAAATTCCTAGAGGAAAAGAACATGTTTCCATAGAGCATTTCTTGCCTACTGTTGTTGTGCAGCTGAATGAACGTATTCTCTAGCATATCCAAAGTTGTTTCCGAGGTTATTTCTGCTTTTTCTTCTGGTTACCATATGGTCTTTGATCTAGAGGCAGCTACAAAGGATCGTATTTGCCCATGGCTCCCTCAGTAGTAGGATTCAGATATCAGAGGACAAGAACTGTCTTCTGGAGTTATTAGCGTCGTTCCATTTCGGATGGAGCACCCCTCCAAATGAGCCATTCGGTCATTTTAGTGGATATTTTTCACCTATAGATCTAAGGAACCATTTATATATCAAATTACTAGGAAACAATTGTTTTCGTTATCATTCATCCTTGGAAAAAAACTGTGTTTTGTTAACAGATAAACTAAGTTGTCAAATAAGAAGCTGATTTCATTACGCTTGCGACATACAGGTGGCTGTTAACATGTGTCCGTGCACAATTCTCATCAATAAGCTGCATGTTTTACAAAACCCTGGGCAAACATAACATCTATGCATTAACATAGATTACTTCTACAGCCTGATAATATTATTTGGTTTATCAGTTTGCTAAGATATAGTATTTTATTTTTTCCCTTAGGGATATGATGATGGATATGGGGGTGAATATGATGATCCAAGTTATGAGGCATATGACAACAGTTATGCCACTCAAACACAAAGGTAAGCTTTTATAAATTTATGTGAACTTTTCAATAAAACTGTTAGAGTTAACACTTCTTTTCCCTTCTTTTTAGGCAAATTTCCTATTATATTTTCTACATTAAATTTATAAAATCTCACAGGTTTTAAATAGTTATCAAAAAGTAATAATGGTGGGCAGAGTTAATATACAGAATTATTCAGATGAAGCAAAAATCACAGACAGACAGACTTTTCAAATCATTGTAAATTAAAGTGTAGTTTTTTAAAAAAAGTGATTTTACCATTTTAATATCTGATCTTATTCTGAACTTATCTGTGCATTTTTTCCTTTAGTAGTGCACAGTCTCCAAGAGCATCTCATATTTCACAGTTTTTATAATGTTTGGGCAGAACCAGAAGCAAATAAAAAAAAAAAGTGATGATGGCAACTACCAACCACTGGTTGGCATTCACCCTCAAGGAAAATATAAAATGGAATTATATGTCTGAAGTAACTCTGAAACTGTCTGCTTTCTGTCCATTACTTTCTCAACAACTTTCAAAATTGATAAAAGTAACCAAGGTTGGAATTTTTATTTTATGTCCTTGCTGTGTGAGATAACGGGGAGAATTATATTCACATTTTTTATGATTCGTGTCACTAAAAAGAGGCAGCAAAAATGATTGCTTTTTACGTGCACATACGCCACATGCGCACACATGTATTTTTCTCTGCAATTGGTCCATGTTTACTAAATATAAAATGACCTTTTTTTCCCCAGTTAAACTGAAGGCTAAAAGAGTGCTTCAGCCGGTTATTCAGAAAATACTCTGATTGGTCGCTAAGGATAGATGTCAAATCATTAAAAGCCAAAAAAAAGTTTTAACAAGAAAAGAAGTAGATTCTATTTGAATTACTGTGATTCTTACCAGACAAGAAAATGATATTTATGTACAGTTTTGCGCTTTAAAGACCAGAGGACCTGATTTATGCTTTTGTTTAACCTTTTTTTTTTTTTTTGCTGAATGCTTTGCTGATGAAAATGCCTCTCAGAATTATGTTCAGCTCTATAACTGCTCTAGTGAGTGGTACTTGAGCTGATACGAAAATTCTTTGTAAGTATTTTTACCACCAGTGAAGAATGTTTAAAAGGATTTGTCGCACCCAAATGTGAACCCCTTCAAGTACACTTTAACAATACACTTTTAAGTAATTATACATTACTAGCTGCACCCATCATGTCACTGCGTAGGTAGATATTGTTGTTGTCAAATGTACTCTAATTTTTTTGAAAAGAATTCAGCCCATTTTTTGCTACAATAGTGAATTGTCACAGGAGATATTGTCTATGATTTAAAAATAATAATTAGTTAGAAATCTGTCTGCTGCGACATAGTTTTATATCGTCTGCATTAGCTTGTAATTTCTTTCTAAGCTGATGTCCCCAACAACAAAGTGAAATATTTATCAAGTTGATGAGTGTAATATATCAAGCTACAAGTGGTAGTAATAATTTGACCCAAGAAAGAAAACTTACAAGTCAAATAATTTTGTCTTTTAAACACCTATTAAATTCAGTAGTCAATATATTTTCTATTAATGTGAGCTACCTTCAAAATGCCTAATCTATTTCAAATCTGCAACTGAAACATTTCCTGTTGTAATATATCGCAGGATATACAGCCATACTTATCCGTACTGAGTATTACTAAATGCCACAACTAGTCTATTGACTTCAATGAGAGTACTTGCAGAGTAACACGCTACTCAGATTTCAAACATTTAAAGAACAAATGAACTGTTAGATATGCAATTTAGATTTCTATATCTTAATGGATATTTAGTTTCACAGAAATGCCTCCTTACTGAGCACCTCCAAAGATAATACAATAGAATAGTATGACCAAAACGTTAGACTAGGTGTGTATACGAAAAAGTTTTCTCCTAATCTCAAATCTCATAATTAGTATAACTGTGATCATTTGAGCAAGACATATAATGCAGACAGATACCTAAGAAAGAAGATAATTTGTACCCCTTCAGAATACTGATCCAGATCATCCACTGTGTAGTTTGTGGGGAAAAAAGCAGCAAAACCTTGTAAATGATGTGCTCAGAGAGAAAAAAAAACGTTGCTGCCGTCTGCACGGGTTAACTGAAATCCTAAGGCATGAAATGAGAGCTACAAGAGTTCTGCTCATGTTAAGGCCAATTGTTTCCACTCATTTTGTATGACTCTTTAAGGAACTAATACGGAAATCCGTAAAGTAGGTCTGAACTCTGGTCTGGGTGGCTGTCTCACCACACATGCCAACCAAGCCTTAATCTCATCCTCATTTTAAACCTTTACAGCTACACTGGGGGGAGAACTGAATGCAAGCTGAATTCAGTATGCTTTAAAGCATATAGGAAATTATATTGTTCCTCCACTCACCCAATTCACAGTGTGAAGACAGTGTTCAGATAGCCTGCCACCACTACCACTGTTGCCTCTAACTTTGTCTTCCAGACGTTATATCTCCTTTCCCTTTGCTCAGAGGCTTTCTGCCCATTTATATGCTTTGGGGTCCTTTAGTCCTTCATTGTCCAAGAGTGGCCTGATTCAGATTTTTTATAACTTCATCTCTACCAATAGCAGAGGAAATGAGCATGCTGTGAAGACATACTATTGTGCTAACACGTAGGATTATGATTTATTAGAAGTACCAAAAATACCCAGCTGCAAGATCATCCAGTTGCAGATGAAGATAACGCAGTCCGTACTTTTATGTACAATTATCTGAAGATTCAAACTGAAGGACAGGGATGGAACTACATACGCAGCAACACATTTTGTGTAGGTCCTTCTCCAATGAACTCTACCAGCGCTGCCCTTCCAGAATCCTCTGTCCTTCATGACAGCAGTCTCATTTTTAGACTGAAGATAGGGGGATAGGGTCCGTCGTGGAAAAGTCTCAGTACCAGACTGCAATGGCAGAAACCCACAATAAGTTTGCATAGCTGAATGAGCTAACAGACACCTCAAGATCACTTCGAAAAGGACACAACAAGCAGCTTGAAGAAAGAGGACAGCAGGACCCTGGAGCAGCAAATCCTCACTGTGGTAAGTAGCGTACCACCTATATCTTTGTTATGTTTGGGGAGACTGTAATTTTAGAATGAAAGAATTATGAGTTAATGCCAAATACAGCTAAAGTTGCAGTCCGTATTGCACTAGGTTTGTCTAATAGCCACATTCCTAAAGCCATCTTTTTCCTGCTCATCTTGCTGTCCCATAAAGACTATGCAGAATGCAGGATGGAATCAGAGGACAAAGATTTAAATAAATGACTGATTGCCCTTTCCAGCTGTGTCTATATCGTTATTTATAGGAATCAATAAAAGACTACAAGTTTAGCAAGGACATTTAGAAACACGGCTGGTTTTAGAAATGTTTTCACACTCATGTCAAAATGCAGTTTTTAAGGCAATTTGAATAAAAGCAGTGCCTGAGACCATAGAGAACAAGGAACCAACCACGTCAGTGAGCAGAGGCAGACATCAGATTTGACTCATATGCCCTGGGCAATGTTGCACTGCATTTGGAGATGCTTGATGGAAACTCTTTTTCTTCTCCTCTCCTTCCCACTCAGGTGTGAAAATGGCTCGTAGTGCTAAGTATCTGAGCATGCACAGATACACCAGGAGAACACTCAGACCCTTTCTATCAGCTAGATTTGGCTCCTTAACCTCTAATTTGACCACTTTCGTTTATATAAATATAAATGGTAGACGTTATATTTGAAAGTAAAATCCCTTTTGAATATGATGGCCATCCCCGTTTTACTGGTTCACAGCATGTATACTGATGGGAGCAGATAGCAGGTAAGGGTTAGAATTAGTGTGATGTTCTCAAGCACTTGCATCTCATCTCAGCAATCAATTAATATTCATCTAAGTTGTCCACTCTCCTTGCACTTGATACTTAAAAACTTGCAAGGTGTATGTTTTTGTTGAGTAACAGAATTCTGGGATGAATCAAACGTGCTATTGGGGCTTAAGTAGACTCGACCATCACCAGTGAGCCATTTTATCAGATGATGCCCAATTTCCATTACTAAGGCAGATGTTATTCTTATACAAGCCTTGTTTCCCCTTTTTGGTGCTTCTTGGTAGTTCAAACATACTGATATCCCCAGTAGCTTCTCACCTTCAGATACTGTTAGGACATCTGGTGGCAACAGTTCTCCCTTTCCAGTCCCACTGAAATGTAGATCTGAAGAAATTTGTTGATTTTTACCACAAGATTTTTTGTGCATTGCTGCATTAAAAGCCATTTTTGAACAGGACAACAAGCCAAGTGATAAAAGAGAACTCTAAAATGGTAGAAGTATAAATTTCCGACTCAGCTATAACGTAGACTTTATGGGAGGATTCTATTAGTTTTCGAAATATAATACACTTTTTAATTTTCTTTGCAGGAACTTATCAGTGTGTTGAACCCCCACCACTGTCCAGGATTCGTGGGCTGAGAACACTAAATCACCAGGAGAAAAGGATGAAATGTTTTATGAGAGTGTCTGCAAGATCTGCCTCTTTGGTTACACAGAGGTTGGTAGGGGATCAGATTGTGCTGCATGAGAAGTGTGACCAAACTCCTCAGCCAAGACCAATAGAATAATTTTGCGGAAAGGGATCAGCTGCTGATGAATCACCTGAAAAACCCTGATGGTCAGCAGAGTGTAGCCTTCAGCTCTGCTACCACCTCCAATGACCCTTGTGTCATTACCAGCACCAGAAGTTTCATTGCAAAGGTACCATGTCCCACAGCCAAGAGAGATGCTGAGAAAACCTTGGACTGACTGGCCAGAGGACAAACTAGAAAGGATATATCCTATGTAAACCACTTGTGCATAACCCACACAACTAGATGCAATATAAACAACCATGTCTGACAGGGAGAAAAGAAAGAAATCAACAATTGTCCTTTGAAGCTTAAAAGCCCCCATTTTAGGGCCTTGAAGCAATTCCTGACAAAATGTCTGCTGTTAATCTTGCA